CAAGGTCCTATGAAGAACCCAACGGTGTCCTATGAAGGACCCAACCCCAACAGTGTCCTATGAAGGACACAACTTTGTCCTATGAAGGACCCAACAGTGTCCTATGAATGACTCAACGGTGTCCTATGAAGGACTCAACAGTGTCCTATAAAGGATCCAACTGTGCTGCAGGGTCCTATGAAGACACATCTTATCCACTCCACTGGTTCACATCTCTAAGAAGCTGCAGATAAGGTCATAGATGGATCTGGAGTGAAGTGTCAGCAGGAAGGCTGATAGCCCTCTGCTCTAGTTCTGTATACTCTCCGAGTCAGGCGAGCGGAGAGGCTTCTCTGTGGTGGCCCCGCCTTGTTGGAAGATTCTTCTCACAGACATTTGATGGGGACCAACAGGAAGGAACGATGTGCTCTCTGGCCAATTGTGGATGTTGTTACAGGTAGCTGATGAAGTGCCAGGTGTGTGCCACCACTGGAGGCAAGACCAGGCACGAGACCTGCACCAGGTCAATTAGCCATGGCAGCCCCTGCAATTCCACTTGCATGTACACGGATATCGCACAGGATTCCGGCCCTTAATCGGACCTTTGAGTCAAATCTCTAGGCTACTCAAGAAACAGGGTAAGGATTTATCACGATTCCTCTTAATATAACTCTCACATTGTTTTACAACCCGCCTTATCTCCTAGGCCAAAAAACGTTCTCTTCCCACCCACCCCTTTTCTCCTGATTAATTGCAACGCTTGGGGTGACAGGAGACAATGAAATTCACAAATGCTGGAGGCTGTCCTCTGCCACATTCTTGGCTGCTGATTTAAGTTTGAAAACCTGACAGGAGTGTGAACAAATTAAAGGCAGTCCTAAGATGGAGACGGCAGGGGGAGAGGCCGAGGGGGGTTGGGATCCCTGCCACCCCAGAAGTGTTCAAAGAACATAAGATATCATTTTTAATGTCTAGAAAGTTCCCAAAGAAGGAAAGGAAGTCCCAATAGATTAGGTCCACACTATGGATCAAATCACACATTATCAAATGTATACTTCCTCCTTCTCTTAACAACATTGTCCCTTAGAGCAGTAGTCCCCAACCTTGGGCCTCCAGATTTTTACAACATTGTCCCTTAGAGCACATAAATCCTTCAGTGCTGCCTGCCTAAAACGTGAGATATTCAAACAAAGCAATTCTATTTCCTTGTTAACCAGTTATAAGCCTTAAATCAGAGTTTGACAAATAAGGTAAATCTTTCAGTGCTGCCTGCCTAAGACATGAGATATTCAAACAAAGCAATTCTATCTCCTTGTTAACCAGTTAGAAGCCTTAAATCAGAGTTTGACAAATAAGGCTAGCTCTAGTTAGAAATAAAAATCTTTTCCACTTATTGGTGCACTGATGTTCTTGATGCTTTTATTACTAACCACTGTCTCATATGTTAATGCTGTATGTTAACTGAATTTAATTCCAACTCAGAGTCACAATCTATCTGGTTCATTGGTTTGAATGGGTTCTGATTAGAGATGAGCACAAACCTCGGTTTCGAAGTTCATGCTGGTTGGTTGGATTGACACCACAGGTGCTGCACATTCCCTTCCCCCACCCCACCCCTAACTGGATCTCCCACTCACCAATGGGTGCATACTGCTCTTTTCCTCCTCTTCAGGTGTTTGATCAGCCCCAGCATGAGCTGAGTGAAGACACTGCAAACCTGCTCTACAATCTGCATAAGAGCATCCCAATCCAGTCAGTGCCATTTGCACAATCTGGAATTTGGATGCACAAATTTCCATTCCTCCCCAGTAAAGGCATACTGACATGGGTGGAAGCATGTTGATGTAAATGCTAATGTGCTTCTGTACCTGGTGTTATGAGTTTTGCCATGTCTGGTTTATACTTGGCTGGGGTAGAGGGCTAAGATGTAGAGCAAGATCAACATATGTCTGCAGTGTAAGCTAAGTCTTGTGTCCCCACATTTCCCCCCTCACAGTAGCTCTTACCTTGTGCATCTGACTTTTCCCTCCTGTTTCTCTTCCAATTGCTAGGATGGAGACAAACAGTTAATCAGAGAAGCAGCCACACATCAATTAAACTCTGAGCGATATGTTCACACTTTTAAAGATCTGTCCAATTTCTCAGGATCAATAAATGTTTCCTATCGCTATCTGGCTGGCACACCTTTGTTAAGAAAAAGTAAGTATCTGAACATTCAATTTCATTAACCAAAGCAAGATTTTTATCTGATCTAATTGCAAGAAGCAGAAAAAGCTGCCAGGTTGGTTTTCACTGCTTTATAAGAGGCAGTGAAAGAGGCTCTAACTCAGTATAACATTTACAAACCTTTCCTTTTCACAGAATATGTAGAAAGCAAAAAACAGGCAAAGAAAGAGGCCTTCATAGCCTCCATGAGTTGAGGTATATTCTTCATGATATGTGTAAAATGAATCTGTAGATGCAGTTCATTCATTTAATTTTCCAAAAATACATACAGACAAATTGTGTGTTGAATACTATACTAGACTCAGGGGCCAGAATCCTATCTTTATATTTATACCTTCATTGGTGTAAATTTCAGTAGTGAATTAAAACAAGGGGGAAAAAACTAGCATAGTTATTTGCTGTCATATATCGAGGCATACAACCTGTGAACAATAAGAAATGTCTACACCAATGTTTTAACCAGAAGCAATTCACCACTGAAATTTATTCAAAGGGAGCTGTGCCAGCAGACATGGGTACAAACAGCTGGTTAGGCAGTTAGTGCTGGTTCATCCTTTAGACAAACCAGTTCTTCCCAGCCCCATCTCCTCTGGTGGCCATCCACTCGGAGGTAGCACCCAGGGAAGGTGAGGCAGGGAAGCCAGGGGGTTGCCTTTGAGTGGAGGAGGCATGGCTGGGAAGTGCCAAACATCTGTTTGTCTGAAGGACAAACCAACATGAACCACTGAACTGATGGTTTGTGCCCATCTCTAGATAACTAACAAAGATTCTAGACATTATTTAATTGCATTTCATATTTTACCTTACAAAAGCTTAAGAGCAAATTAATTGTTTCTTATCTTCCTATTGAGTTGCTACCCTATTTTACCCTAGCAATAATCCTATGCAGTAGCTTAGTTGGATGGGATTAGAGAAGGGATTCCACCTATATACATCCAAAGATATTCATGGCTGTGAACACAAATTTCCAGTATGCGAACAACCTGACAGAGCCATCCCATATATGGAAGTCACCTGAAAGTCAGAATAATTCAACTAAAATGGAAGTCCAAATAAGCACAACTTGGTAGCTGTCATTAAGAGCAATCTTAGATGTTTACAGTAGTTCATATACTATTTAAAGACCTAAAGTGGATGGTTTGGGGGCTTAGCTAGGACTAGTTCCACTCAACCTTCCTATTCTTGCCCTGGTGCTAGCTGGGAGTTTTGTTTCTGAACAGGAAGCTAGGTGGAACTAGGCTCAGCTAAGCCCCAAAGCCTTCCAATTTATGCCTTGTCTCTCAGGTGAGCCATGTTTAGGTGTCTGTCTGTCATGTGTATGTCAGATAGAACTCCCAGAATGTTGAATTGTGGGATATGTAGTCCAAGAAACAAAACAAAAAACTCATCCCTAACTACTACTTCTCTGATAATTTATATATGTTGTTAGTTCATCCAGGTTTTTTTAAAAAAATCTTGCTTATTTCCTTGTTTAGTCTTAACTGGAGTTTTAAAACAGCCCTTCCACCCAAAGGCCACCTTGGGATCACAGATGATATTTTGAAGCCTGATCTTTCCTGTCCTCACCAGAATGAATAGGGATTCCACTTCAGGCTCTGATGTGTTTTGGCCACAACTCCCACTGCCAGCTCTGATTCACCAGTACTTGCTACTGGATGCTGATACCTGTTCCATCTTAGAGGTGCATTCTGATGTCTTGAAAGTGGGAAGTAGGGAAGAGCTGCTAGCCTACAAACTTTCTCAGTGGAAAAAAAATGCAATTTAAAAGTGTAAGAGTTTTTGATTAGGCCTTCCTTCCTTCCTTCCTTCCTTCCTTCCTTCCT